AACTTCGGATGCACGAATCGAATTTTCCCAAAAATGGCGGCGACATGTGTGGCGACGGAGCGGGGATCTCTGGGAAGGCGCGCAGACAAGGCACGCTGACCCATAATGCATTCATTCATGACATGTGATCGCATTAGCCAATCAGCAGCCAGCCAGCCAGCACTGTGTAATGGTGGAGCTATAAATTGCGGCCATCTTAGAATTCTCCATTAGCCTCCGGTCATTCAAGAGAGACAGACCTGTCTGTATTAGGGACAGAGTTAGGGCCACAGAGACTTTAGGGCCACAGAATCGTTACTCAGGACACAGAATCGTTACTCAGGGACACAGAATCGTTACTCAGGGACAGACACAGAATTGTTACTCAGGGACACAGAATCGTTACTCAGGGACACAGAATCGTTACTCAGGGACAGAATCGTTACTCAGGGACACAGAATCGTTACTCAGGGACACAAAATTGTTACTCAGGGACACAGAATTGTTACTGAGGGACACAAAATCGTTACTCAGGGACACAGAATTGTTACTGGGGACACAGAATCGTTACTCAGGGACACAGAATCGTTACTCGGGGACACAGAATTGTTACTCAGGGACACAGAATTGTTACTCGGGGACACAGAATTGTTACTCGGGGACACAGAATTTACTCAGGGACACAGAATCGTTACTCGGGGACACAGAATCGTTACTTTCTGCTTCACAACCACTATTAAATTAAAGAGTATGTCAGACAACACGCAGAGGAGTGGCAGAGGAGGCAATGTTTCAGGAGCGAGCAGACGTGGCAGCAGAGGAAGGGGTCGAGGCAGCACTAGTCGCAGCCAGAGGCCAGTGCTCCCGGTGTCATCCAGCGGTCATGTCTCCACCGACAACCCTGCCGTCATCGATTGGTTGACTCGGTCGTCTTCCTCTTCCCAGGTCACCTCTGACACCTACAGCCAACGGTCGGTGGGTACGTCAGACACAACCGTTAGTTGGCATGGCCCGGGAGCAAGCCCACTGAAATCACGTGTCCTCTACCTGCCCCTGTCCTTTGGTGTTCCCTCACCAAGCGAAGTATCGCATGCTGTGGGCTCAGCCCCACTGTACAGTGAGGAAGAGCTAACAGAGGGCGGTCAGGAACGGGGGGGGAGACATCCACCTCTTCAGCAGCCAGGCGAAGAAGTACTGGCGAGGAGAGTGGCTCGGTAGCCGGTCTAGAGACAGGTCTGTTTCCTGACCCACACGCAGCCGAGGGGGCTAGTAGTGACGCGGAGACCCTAATTGATGATGATGAGGCTGATCGCACTTGGCAGCCTCGTCGTCATCAGGCTATTGCTTCCGCATCATCAGGAGAAGAGGGTGCCAGCTTGCCAGCGAGCAAAACAGTCGGTGGGTTGCCAGGAGGCAGCAGGGTCGCAGCAGTGTCAGTGGAGGCAAACGGCCACGGAGTAGAGCACCAGCTCCACTGCAGCCTACCACCACGGCCAGTAGTGGTGCCAGTGTGCACGGAGGAAGTAGCAGTCAGCCAGTGAGGAGTAGCGGGGGCAAAGTTTCCTACTCGGCGGTGTGGCAATTTTTCGTCAAGCCGCCCGAGGAAGTAAACGTAGCCGTATGTCGACTATGTGGCCAGAAAGTCAAGCGTGGCCAGGGGGCCCATGTTGGGACTACAGCGTTGCATCACCATATGCAGCGTCGCCATTCGGTGGCCTGGGAAAACCGTGATAAAGATACGGCGGTTCTGCCTGCCCCAGCCCCCGCTCCATCACCCACTCCGTTACTTGCTCCGTCACCCGACGTCAATCGCCCTCTATCAGCCAGTCAAGGCTCCAACACCTCTGCTGAGGGGAGTTGTCGCTCGTTGGCATCTTCCGCTCGTTCAGATGCTCCTTCTCCTGCTACTCCTCTTCACGGATTCCGTCAGCAGTCTTTCTTGGAATACGTTTCCAAGAGACAACAGTTTGCGAGCACGCACCCGACGGTGCAGAAGCTGAACGTCCTCCTGTCCAAGTTGCTGGTGCTGCAGTCCCTCCCTTTCCAAGTGGTGGACTCAGCACCTTTCCGAGAAATGATGGCTTGTGCCGAGCCGCGGTGGAGAGTGCCAAGCCGGCATTTCTTCGCCAAAAAGGCAGTGCCAGCCCTGCATTCACATGTAGAAGAGATGCTGGGCCAGTCTTTGAGCATGTCGGTCTCTGCCAAAGTGCACGGCAGCGCCGACGTGTGGAGCTGTAACTACGGTCAGGGACAGTACATGTCATTTACGGCCCACTGGGTGAACGTGCCGGCACCAGCAACTTGGACAGGTCACGCCGCTTTTGCCTCCACGTTTGCACGTCCTTGGTCCAGCAAAGATGTCCGCCTCTACCACCTCTTCTTCCGCCGTGTCCTCAGCCGCCCACCCCCGTGCCAAGTCCCATTACCCGACCGGCATATCACATGTGCAGGGCGCAACGGTGTCACGCTGTGCTGCACCTGGTATGCCTTGGCGAACGTAGTCACACAGGGGAGGAACTTCTGAGTGTAATGAACAGAGAAATCGACAGATGGCTGTCTCCGCGCAAACTGAAAATCGGAACCATGTTGACCGACACGGAAAGAACATGGTGTCTGCTCTGCGTCAAGGAAGGTTGTGCCATGCGCCATGCATGGCTCACGTGTTCAATCTGGTTGTCAAGCGGTTCCTAAAATCCACCATCCCACTGCAAGACATCCTTAAAATGTCACGTAAACTTTGCATGCATTTCAGCCATTCCTACACGCAAAGCACACCCTCCTTGAGCTGCAGCGGCAGAACGGAATTCCACAGCATCGCCTGATCTGCGACGTTGCAACAAGGTGGAATTCAACCCTACATATGTTAGACCGCCTTTACGAACAGCGAAAGGCCATCACCGATTTCCTGATGTTACAAGCGGATAAAGGTACTCCCCTGTGTAACTTAGATGTCAGCCATTGGCAGCTCATGCGTGACACCTGCCGCTTGCTCAGGCCCTTTGAGGAGGCCACGCTATTCGTGAGTCGGCAGGACTATGGGATGAACGACGTCATTCCTCTGTTGCATGTCCTGGAACAAATGCTGTTAACAATGGCTGGTCAGGGTGCGGTAGACGTGGCGCACAGATCTCAACGCCACATGACCCCTGTGGGGGCAGGACAGGGAAGAAGAGGAGGAGGTAGAGGAGGACATTGGTGCTCAGGAATTATTGAGTGAAATGGGTGGTTTTTCCACTCAGCGGACAGGAGTGGAGGAGCAGGAGCATCTGGTAGAGGAGGAGGAGACAGAGGACCCAGAGGAGACGCACCGTGGCAGTATGCTGTGGAGATGGAGGCAGGGAGTCCCTCGCATTCCTTGGCACAAATGGCCCATAGCATGCTCGGTTGCTTGCGTAGCGACAGCCGAATAATAACCATCAGACAGAGGGATGACTTTTGGCTGTCCACCTTGTTGGACCCTCGCTACCGTTCAAAAATGGTGGCCTTTTTCACACCTGCTGAGAGAGGGCCAATATAAAGTACTATAAAAACCACCTATGTAGTCAGTTGGTCTCTGCCTTTCTGCGCCAACGTCCATCCTCAGACACTGTGGGCCCTGTGCGCTCGCGTTCCGCTGCCATGGCAGCAGGGGAGGGGTGGGGTGGTAGGAGCAGTGGCAGCTCCACCAGCAGCGGCTGCCTCAGTCTGCAGTCGATAATGAGTAGCTTTCTTCACCAGCGCAGTGAGGAAACTACTAACCAGCCGCAGCAGCAGCAGCAGCATCAGGTGGACCTGGAGCAGGACCTCAAACAACAGGCTCGGGCCTACTTGGACAGCACCCTGCCAACCGAGGTAGACAATCCCCTTGACTACTGGGCATCGAAACTTGACCTTTTGGCCCCAACTAGCTGAATTTGCCCTTGAAAGGCTGTCATGCCCGGCCAGTAGCGTGGCATTGAAGCGCGTGTTTAGTGCGGCAGGAGGTATTGTAACTCCGCGGAGGACACGACTGTCCACCCAAAGTGTGGAGAGACTCACGTTTGTGAAAATGAATCAGGCGTGGATTAGTCTGGATTTCAAACCACCAGTTCCTGACACAACTGACTAAATCCGCCATGAATCATGCCCCAAACATGTTATTATTTTTAACATAGGCCTCTGTATGGCCTTCAATTTTAGCTGCTTACGCTCCGCCACTCTGCCATGGGCCCCTGTACCGCCTCCTCATGCTGCTGCCAGGCCCGTAATCTGCCATGGGCCCCTGTACCGCCTCCTCATGCTGCTGCTGCCGTAAGGTCCAGAGTGTGCCAGGTCATGGGTCCCTGTACGGCCTCCCATTGCTGCTGTCTCCATCGCCACACTCTGCCATGTGCCACTTTCAGGTCTCCTCACACTGCTGGTGGGTTCCATTTTGTCATAGGGTGCTGTATGGCCTCCCATTGCTGCTGCCAGGCCCGTAATCTGCCATGGGCCCCCGTACCGACTCCTCATGCTGCTACCAGGCCCGTAATCTGTCATGGGCCCCTGTACCGCCTCCTCATGCTGCTGCCAGGTCCAGAGTGTGTCATGGGTCCCTGTACGGCCTCCCATTGCTGCTGTCTCCATCGCCACACTCTGCCATGTGCCACTTTCAGGTCTCCTCACACTGATGGTGGGTTCCATTTTGTCATAGGGTGCTGTATGGCCTCCCATTGCTGCTGCCAGGCCCGTAATCTGCCATGGGCCCCCGTACCGACTCCTCATGCTTCTGCCAGGCCCGTAATCTGTCATGGGCCCCTGTACCGCCTCCTCATGCTGCTGCCAGGTCCAGAGTGTGTCATGGGTCCCTGTACGGCCTCCCATTGCTGCTGTCTCCATCGCCACACTCTGCCATGTGCCACTTTCAGGTCTCCTCACACTGCTGGTGGGTTCCATTTTGTCATAGGGTGCTGTATGGCCTCCCATTGCTGCTGCCAGGCCCGTAATCTGCCATGGGCCCCCGTACCGACTCCTCATGCTGCTGCCAGGCCCGTAATCTGTCATGGGCCCCTGTACCCGCCTCCTCATGCTGCTGCCAGGTCCAGAGTGTGTCATGGGTCCCTGTACGGCCTCCCATTGCTGCTGTCTCCATCGCCACACTCTGCCATGTGCCACTTTCAGGTCTCCTCACACTGCTGGTGGGTTCCATTTTGTCATAGGGTGCTGTATGGCCTCCCATTGCTGCTGCCAGGCCCATAATCTGCCATGGGCCCCCGTACCGACTCCTCATGCTGCTGCCAGGCCCGTAATCTGTCATGGGCCCCTGTACCGCCTCCTCATGCTGCTGCCAGGTCCAGAGTGTGTCATGGGTCCTGTACGGCCTCCCATTGCTGCTGTCTCCATCGCCACACTCTGCCATGTGCCACTTTCAGGTCTCCTCACACTGCTGGTGGGTTCCATTTTGTCATAGGGTGCTGTATGGCCTCCCATTGCTGCTGCCAGGCCCGTAATCTGCCATGGGCCCCCGTACCGACTCCTCATGCTGCTGCCAGGCCTGTAATCTGTCATGGGCCCCTGTACCGCCTCCTCATGCTGCTGCCAGGTCCAGAGTGTGTCATGGGTCCCTGTACGGCCTCCCATTGCTGCTGTCTCCATCGCCACACTCTGCCATGTGCCACTTTCAGGTCTCCTCACACTGCTGGTGGATTCCATTTTGTCATAGGGTGCTGTATGGCCTCCCATTGCTGCTGCCAGGCCCGTAATCTGCCATGGGCCCCCGTACCGACTCCTCATGCTGCTGCCAGGCCCGTAATCTGTCATGGGCCCCTGTACCGCCTCCTCATGCTGCTGCCAGGTCCAGAGTGTGTCATGGTCCAGAGTGGGTCCAGAGTGGGTCCCTGTACGGCCTCCCATTGCTGCTGTCTCCATCGCCACACTCTGCCATGTGCCACTTTCAGGTCTCCTCACACTGCTGGTGGGTTCCATTTTGTCATAGGGTGCTGTATGGCCTCCCATTGCTGCTGTCTCCACCGCCACACTGTGGCTCCACACTCTGGTTTTGGCCCCGTGACTGCCCAAATGAGTGAAGTGTGCGGTGATTCTAAGATCGACGGCACTCATCTGCATGTCATACTGACTGACAGTATTATTTCTCTTCCCCAGCAGACTCCAAGGGCATTTAAATTAAAGGTACAGTGTTCTGCACTAATATAAAGGCTCTCTGAAGCCTAGAAACACCCTTTTTACACGTTAAATTCGCAGCGAATATATTCGCCTCGAATCGAATTTATTCCGCGAATTCGGCGATTCAGCCGAATCGAATTTTTGAATAATTCGCTCATCTCTACTGAACATGTTCTCCTGAGTGTTATAAACTGTGAATGACCAGAGAATAGCTGTGATCCTCTGAATCACAGCTATTCTCTGTGTCATAAAAGGACACCTTAGTTTGATATTATTTACAAACTTCAGATCGATGGGTTTGGAGAACATGCAGTGAACTGATTTTTGCCCAGTTTGCTGAACTAGTTTCCACCTAGTGAGGGGCACAAAAACAGGTCCAGGAGAGTTGCATATATATAGTTACATAGTTAGTCTGGCTGAAAAAAGACAAACGTCCATCCAGTTCAACCATAGAAAAAAACCATAGTTGGAATGAGCTTCTGTTACCTTCCATAACCATTTAACCATTTCCTTTAGATTACAAAGCTCCATGAGCAGGGCCCTCCTATTCCTTTTGTACTGAAATGTATGGTAATTGTACTGTCTCCCTTATATTGTAAAGTGCTGCGCAAACTGTTGGCGCTATATAAATCCTGTATATAATAATAATAATAATAATAATTTAAGCATTCAGAGAAAGGGGTGGACACACAATAGCACAGCAAGGACAGTATGACTGCTGGGAAAGGTTGTCTAACCTTTTCCTTTCTCTGTTGTGGGGTAGATCTCTTCCTATACAGAAGAGAATAGGTAAACCATGCATCTCAGCAGAAAAAAGTGCACATGGACATTAACTGTATAAAAAATATGCTGATAGCACTGTGTCAGATGTTGATCCTTTAAATGTTATCATTGAGGTGCATTAACTTACGAACTTTTACAGAAAGTGACAAATATCTAAAATCTTAGCATTCAGGCTTAACACAGGGAACCACACTCACTAATCTTGAGTAACCTCCTCAACTCATTTCTTAATTTAACCCTATTGTTGTCCAAGTTGAATCTGTCTCGGAGCTCTAGGTCACTCAAAGCAAATTCAAAGCTTTTGAACATCAATCTTACCCAACATTTGGCCCTCCAGCTCTAGTTGTCTTTTTAGTAGTAAACAAAAAGCCAACCATACCTTGGGATCCATACTACATCTAATTATGACACATAAAACACATTTACCATTATACTCCAGTCCAGCCATTCAACAATAAACCAAGCAACTTTTTGAATCCTGGAAATGTTATCAAATGTCTTGTCTGAAAATGTCTCGCCTTTCAAAAATCTTGTATCCCATGAAAGTGTTACCAGTTGGTAATCTTTATTATGTGCATTTTTTTTAAAGTGCCTTATTTTATTTGGGGAGCTCTTGGCTTCGCACTTATTAAAATCTTTTTTTTTTCAACAAAGGCATTTTTGTGTTTCTAATATCTCAATCTAGTATTACACAACACAGATAGCTCGCTTTCATATCATGCTACTCCTGGGACCCTTTCTGGTCAGTCTGGAAGCCGCAGAAATTACTTGCATTGCCATTGCTACTTTTTTATAGATATTGCCATCTCAACGCAAACACATAGACAATCCCTTTAATAAACACTCCCTTAAAATACAGGATCCAGCCATACACTCAGGCAATTTAGCCTTTCCACACCTTTAGCAGCTATAGTACATAACTCAGACTTTTCCCTGGACCCTGATGATCCTTGCAGATCATCAACATTGACTGGTAGGCTCACTGAGCCTGAGGTGCAAATATGACTTTCTCTCCCCAGATGGCGTTTTAACCTTTGATCCCCTGCTCAAAAATCAAAAGCTGCCTCCTTCCAAAATATTTCAGTATCTACAGATTACAATTATATTACCTCTACAGCTTAGAATTCCTAATTCCCTTACAAAATTACCCCTTTAAGTGTTACTGTTAACATGACCTGCATAAAGGCATTGTCTTTACTGTTTATCTGTCCTTATCTCTCATTATTGGAGGACCAATGCCCAACTCCCAGCTTATTTATCCTATGTAGAATACTATGAAAGATACCTAAAAAGGTATTTAAATCCACTGGACTAGAATCAAATTTGGAACATAATGGCCCACTGGTCTTTTAACTTGATGGCTGTTGAGCCCAAATATAAGCTGTTAATGCACTGGAACATGGTGCCCCAAAGGCTGTCCAAATTTATTTCTGGGATCTCTACCTGTTGTTTTCACGGTTACATTGGGAAGGGCATGTTCCTCAGTGTTTGGTGGAACTTTTCTAAAATTAGAAGCTATTGGGTGGGTGGCTACCAAGTGAAATAATGGTTTTGGGAAAAAGCATCAGTTCACATTCCTCTTCACCTGTTGAACTAGTGGTTTCCACTGTCTCTCATTCTCTCTCCCTTCTCTTCTTGTTTTCTTACTTATCCACCCCTTTCCACCTTTCTGCACCTTGACCCTCTGGAAAATGGCTGTAAATCCTTACATATACCCAGTGAAATGGCTAGCCTCAGGTAATACATAGAGATTAAACAAATCCTCTTGCATAAGTTGTACCTGTTTTTCTACATCTGTCTGTCCCCTACATCAATTTAAAGTGCAGAATTTACACAGGCTCTCTCAGCTCTAAAAAAAAACAGAGGGCAGGTCTTAAGTTACACTTGGTGAGGACTGCTCTTAGAGCTGATTGGAGGGAAGGAGCACACCCCCTTCACACAGTACACAGGAACAGTGCTGAGGCTGTCAATCACAACCTGTGCCTTCCCCTGTCACCATTTTTCTCTTGGTGTCAGAGGTTTACAACCACTTTAAGCTCTCTTCTCTTTCTGCTACCCATCTTTTTATGTTTTTTTGTTTGCATATATGACCTTATTTATTAGACCGACAGGCCCATAACCCACAGGTTCATTACTCTATTAAAAAAGACATTTACTAAATGTTGTTGTACATTCATTATTGGTCCATTATGATATTTCAATAGGCTTTATAGTGGTACTCTGTGTATCCTTATGTCAGTGTCTTTTATGTCCATTGTTAAAGGAAATGTAACCTGCATACGGAAATGCTTTCTTTAACTACTGTGTTCCACAAACATTTATAGCAACAGAAACAGAATGTGAGCTTTTAAAACTCACACTCTATCTTTTTTACCCAATCTCACCTCTATAATCAAATAAAAGGTTATACACTCAAATTATTAAACACAGCTCAATTTATTTAATACTGAAAAGTGGCAACTGATGGCACTCAAAATGACCACTCACGGTGACCAAAACTGAACCAGGTAGTGTAAAATGGCTTCAGCTCTGCTCTCCATGCAAAGGGAGGTCCTTCAGACTCATTTCATCCCCTAGTGGGCCTAATCATTGAGAAGTAATCAACAGAGCTGGCAACTTGGAAAAGTAGAATCCAATCTTTTTTATTCAAAATATGATGAAGAGGTAAAAATTCCAGGAACAAACTTGTTGATGCGTTTCAGACTATGCAGGTCTTCCTCATAACTAAGAGGAAGGCCTGCATAGGCTAAAACGTATCAACACGTTTGTTCCTGATCAGAGCTGAAGCCATTTTACTCTGCTTGGTTCAGTTTTGGTCACAGTGAGTTGTTGTCGAGTGCGACTGATTGAAATTTTCTGTAGCATGTTGTAGCCTGACGAGCTGTTTTAAACAATCTGCACCAGTTCATTACATGTCATTTTGGCTGATATCAGTGATAGGAGCATTTGAGCGGTACTTTTTTATGTGTTTGTCTCAATTTATTTAATGTTTTTGTACCTAACTAAGGAGTATTATTGGAAATCTGATATTTGTACTTTTTTTCAAGTTGATATCAGTAAAGAACTGATTTATCAGAGTTCATTTTGGGACTGTAACATAATTACAAATCCCTTTATACTGATATTTTGCTAGGTAAAGATTGTGAGATACTGCATAGACATTAATAAAGCTGTCAGAAAAACAGTTGTGGCCTTCATTGCGTTCACTCCCTATCTCAACAGAAGTGTTTTATTAGCATTGCTGTGCTTAGGGTCAAGGTAGACAGCTCTGCCAATTCATAGTGGTGTGGACATTAATGGGTTTATAGAGGAAGCAGTAAAGCATTTGATGAGAAAGCTTGTAGCAGCAAAGAAACTAAATCCTTATTTGGACCTCAACTTATCTATCATATCAGTGACAAACATGCAGCTTTTCTATGACTGTCAAGGGACATAGGATTGACTGCTAAGATATATACACAAAATGGGAGAAATCCATATGGCCAAAGTGTGTAATGTATGGAGGGTGTAGGTGTTATTTTTGGTTGAGTGGTGTGGCTTGTGTAGTTGTGGTGGGTTATTGCTGTTGGTGAATGGTGGGTTGAGTTGGTTTGGTGTGGTTGTTTGGCGGGGCGATTGGTCTACCCACCATGTATGTTTTGGTGGTAGTGTAGTGGGAATAATGATGGGTTTTCGGGGGTGGT